TGATTCTATACAAAAACAATCGACACACGGCAGTGTGTTAGGAAAAAAACAGCTTTACACATTTAATATATTATATGTTGAAGGGGACGAGCGCGAACGCAGGTCCCCACTACCAGAAATTATACGCTCGAGTTACCCACATTAGGGGTAATCGCAGGAGTCAACGCAGTCGAAGTGCAATGAAAGGGCCTCATCCTGAGAGGACCTCCTAGTTGATCAAGGTGCCTCTCGCGTCAGGTAAGTATGCTGTTGTTTGCGCCGCTCACCTTATATACGCGATGATGATGACACGCGATTGTGGTACTTCGGGGGTTTCCCTCTTGTCTTGAACGTCATGTGCCGCGATCTAGAGAATGAAAAAGTATGCTAGTAAAATTAGATGTAGTTGATTCGGTTCATAGCCGAATGAAAACACGCTCACAGGGTGTGAAATATCAACATAGGATAAATAATAAAGTGTTACAAGTCATATGATATATATGTATGTTATATATGCATGAGAAAGCCGTGATATATTATTTCACGTGGTATTCGAGTATGGTGTTAATATAAATCTATCGGCATGTGGAAAGTAATTAAGTGTGTGTGTGATCGTCTAATAAACTAGAGATTGCTTTATAGTTTGATTTGAAATAAAAGAAATGTTCTTCCCCGAGTGGGGAAGGGGCCGTACTCGGATGTAGTGCAATACCGAGACAACCCGTGGCCAGGGCGAAGCAAGCTTCAATCCCATGGCCGAAGTCCAAAAATCAGTTTAATATATGAGTTAGGCATTGCCTAACATATCAGATATTAAGCTGATAAGAACAGATACTACACTTGATCTTATTTTGAGTTGAACGACGAAGGGCTTATCGGCTCCGACGGTGCAATGGAGCCTGGACCCTCTATATCGCCGCACCCAGGGGGTTGCTACACAGCAAGCAGACAACAGAGAGTACGACCCTCTCCCCCGTGCCATGAACATCTATGAATGGCCTGAGCGATCCAATGCAAAGCACCTTCACACCCAGGGGTCCCTAAACCTATGATGATGAATGGTTTGGGAAATGATATTAGCTAAACATGATGTCAACATGAACAACCCACTGGTTAATCAAGATCAAAGAAAAATTGAAAGAATTCCCATGCAACCCACAAGGACAAAGTCAATGCGAACCATGGGACAAAAATTGAAACGAAGACAGGAGCCACCACAAGAGGAAAACCACTGCTCCGTTTAAACAGGGAACAAAACAAATGACTAAACAGACAAATTACAACGAAGCAAACTAGACAAACACTCCACCTCAAACACTGAGTACAACCGAAAAAACAAAAACAAAACGGAAAAACAATTAATATGACTGAAATAACGAAAACAAAACAAACAAGAGAGCTTTAGAGACAACGGCAGTACAACCAATGAAGGCGACCTCCGTGCCTCCAAAGAAGGACAGGGAAGGAAAGCAATCAGGTGATAAAGTCTGGAGAAAAGCGAATCCAATCTTGATCAGTTACGGAGCCAATGATACCATCAGCAAGCCATTCGCGAACAAAAAGATCTTGAGGACAATGCCTTTGATGCATACGAACAAGGAATCGGAAGGTGGAACGGGCTTTCTTCAATATATCTGGAGCGAAAGGGTAAATACCATCAAAACGATGGCTGTTGCGAGCTAACCACATGTGATGCCGCAAAACACCCAACAGTGCAGTGAAAACGATCGGTGTAGGCGAGGGAGAAGTAAATCCAAATAGGATCTGTGCATCTGTTAGAACCACCAGAGACGTCTGCCTTCGTAACTGCAGCATAAACCAAGACAAAAGCTCCGTCGCCAGAGTACAGGAAGTAAAAATATGGACCAGGGATTCAGGTTGTCCGCAGAAACAGAGAGGGTCCACATTCATCTGGAACCGAATGAGACGATCAGCAGTAGGTAAGATGCCGTGAGAAGATAACCAAGCTGTGTCTTGTACTGAACGAACAAATCGCCACAAACGAAGGTGGGACCAAACGCTTTGCCAGTCAACAGGGATAGCGAGTTGAGCAAATTTAGCAATTGCCCGATGGTCAACATGCTGATATTCCGATAAGAACAAGTAACCCATCTTAGCAGAAACATCAGAAACAGGGACCGGGTCGCGGTGAGGACGAGGTAGAACCCAGACATCACCATCTCGGGTACCTTTCAAATCAACCCAAGCACGCACCAAGGAAGAATAGAAAGGAGGAAGGCGCTTCGTCAAGTATGCAGGGATGGAATCACGAGCAAAAAGAGAGTTGACATCTTGATGAAATACGAGTTGAGTGTAATGATTAAAAATAAGCATCCAAGGGTGGCCAGAAGAGTTGGTAAGGAGGCGACGAATCCATAAGACACAGAGAGATGAAATCTTGCGACCAACATCCACAACACCCAAACCCCCTTGATCAACAGGCTGTGTAAGTGACGAGCGCGCCAACCATTCTCTTTTTTTATTCCAAACAAATGGAAAAAGGAGCTTGTTGATTTGAGCAATCACAGTCTTGGGGACATCAAAAATTGTTGCTTGGTACCAAAAGATGCTGAGACCTAACACGTTGGCAAGGAGTGCTCGACCACGGAAGGAGAGCTGACGACCTTTCCAGAGAGAAATTTTACCCTTAAACTTTTCAAGGAGGGAATCCCAATTCGGCTGTGTGTTGGTTCCAATCTGACAACCAAGGATCACAATGGAAGCATTGGACCATTTTAAATTTACAGGCATGTTGGAACGACCACGCCATGAACCGATTAATAAACCATGACTCTTTGAAACGTTCAATTTAGCCCCGGAGGCACGTTCATATCGAGAAAATAAAGAGAAAACGGAGAGGAGAGCTTGATCCGATTGAACAAGTATACTGGTATCATCAGCATATTGGCATAACTTCACACACTGTCCATTCATCAATTCAAAGCCGTCAATATTCGGATCCTTCCGAAGGGCACTGGATAACGTCTCGGCGACTAGAATATACAAAAGGGGAGAGAGGGGACAACCCTGCCGAACGCCACGAGTGACACGAAACAATTCACCAGTAAAACCATTGACCAGGACCCGAGAGAAAATATCCGTATACAGTAAAGCTACCCAAGACCGAAAAACTGGACCAAAGTTCATACGCTCCAACACGTTCAGCATAAAAGACCAATCAATGCGATCGAAAGCTTTCTCTTGATCCAATGACAAAATGGCAGCACCAATATCATGAAGATGTGCATAATTGACAATGTCTTGAAGCATACGTACACTCTCGCCAGAAAAACGGCCAGGAACACCACAGGACTGTTCGGGAGAGATGACAGATGAAAGAACCAGCTTAAGACGATTAGTGAGAACCTTTGAAAGGATCTTATAATCACAACAAAGCAACGAAATAGGACGCCAGTTCTTGGTATCAAATCGATCATCCTTCTTGTACAATAAGGTAATCACACCAGTGCGCTGAGAAAAGGATAACAGGCCAGTATTCAAAGATGAATTAAACACATGCACCAAGTCATTACCGAGTAAGTTCCAAAAGTGTTTATAGAACTCGTAGGAAAGCCCGTCGAGCCCAGGGGACTTATTGTTCTTAAAACTTTTCAAAGCAGCCAAACACTCAGTATTGAGAACATCACCTTCGCACAGGGAAGACTCCGCATCGGTGAGCTTAAGGTCCAGAGAATCGAGGAAAAAATTTTGATCCGGTTGGGACAAGTTGGAAGCAGTAAATAGATGAACATAATAAAGACACCAAACATGAAGAATGGCCGAAATAGAACGAACAATGATGCCCTGCGCATTCCGAATACCGCTGAACAAACGACGCATCCCACTGGACTGTTCCTTACGAAAAAAATAACACGAAGATGTTTCGCCCTCTTCGGCCCACTGCTCCTTAGAACGAATCCGAGCACCATGCGCCCTGTGACGGAATTCCAAATCCAAATCATCTTTCACCTCCTTAATTTGTGAAGCAACATCCTCACCCAAGCCTTGACGCCGAGACAAATTGACCAGAGCACTTTCGAGGGATTGGATACGAGAACGACGCAGAGATGTCTGTTGCCGCGAATAGCGTCGAATGATAAGCTTCAAACGCTTTTTCCCAGCATCCCACCAGATAGCTAAGTTAGGAAAGGTAGGCTTCTCAAGTTGCCACTCATGCCAAAATGCAGTTACTTCCGCGGTAAAGTGAGGATCAAGGAGAAGAGATGAATTAAATTTCCACAAACCAGGGCCACGCTCAGGAGTCGAAGGAAGAGAGAATGTGAGGAAAACATAGGAATGATCCGAACGAAAATATGGATAAATACCAATATCGATAACAGAGTCAATTAAGGAAGAGGAAAGCCAAAACATATCCAATCGGGAAGCTTGAGAACCATTCGCACGACTCCACGTGTAACATCGGTCATCGGGATGGCGCAATCGCCAAATGTCCTTTAAATCCATTTCGTTGGTTAGGTTTGCTAGGGAAATTGGCCAATTATATGCCCACGGGGAAGATGGATTACAGCCCACACGATCTATGGAAGGATCCACTACAGTGTTGAAATCACCACACACGACTGAGGGAAGGGAAGCATGGATCTGGGATAAAACAGACTCAAAGAATGCTATACCATCTGGTTTCTTGTTCGGACCATAAATGTTAACCAACTGGAAGGTAGAAGAATAGGGTAAGGACAGGTGCAAGATCTGCAAACGACCCTGATGATCAAAAATCTCACTATCGACAGTAAATCCAGGCTTGAGGAGTACAGCAACACCACAACTGCGGACGGACCCAGGAGAAGAAAGAACAGAATATCGTTGAGGATTGTTACCGGCATCCGATTCCCGTGAGATCCAATTCACAAATTCATCTCGCGAGGTGGAGTGTGTTTCTTGAAGGCATACAATCTCAGACTTTACACAATTTAGCCAAGAGAACAAAACAGCACGCTTGGACGGATCCCGAAGACCCTGACAATTGAGTGTAATCACAGAAATTCCACTAGCTTTACTAGTATTGGTATTAGTGTTCGCCATTTCGACTATTAAAGTAAATCAGTAATGATCAATCCGATAAGGAGGAAACAAGCCGAAGCCTGTTGCTAATCCACAATCTGTTCCGGTGCTGCAGTTGCAGCACTGTCAAAAACATCTAAATTTGCAAAAAAGGCATTAGTAACACGCGATTCTTCAGAGAGTTGAGAATCAACCTCTGGTTCATTAATAACAGCCATTCCCCTCTGTGCGAAAGGAACGTCCGGTGTAACTTGAGTTAAGGGATAAGCCGTTTTTTCTGAGTCCGTAAAATCATCTTCAGGAAGGGGAACATCTTCTGGCTGGAGAAGATTAAATCCAACAAACACATCAGAAGAGAACGATAAATCGTCCGATTGATGCTCATCGCTAGAGAAAAAGGCCTCCGAATCACTACCACTCTCAACGACAGCAGAAGAAGAATGACCAGGGCGACAATCCTTCTTGCTCTTAGGCGATTTCAACTTCCGTCCAGGAGAACGACGACGCTTATTGCCTATAGCAGTGGATTTAACTGGCTGCTGACTATTGGGCACGACAATGGCACCAGCGTCCACACAACCAACAGATGTAGTATCCCCAATATTGATAGGAGTAGCACTAACCTCCTCTTCGATCACAACAGGAGCGCCACATGCGGCAGAAACCACGGTAACTGCTGCAGAAGTAATTGTTGTCACAGACGATAAGGAAGTAGAAGCAACAGGAGCTGACACTGCCAAAGATGTTCCGACTCCGGCCGTCGTTGCGGCGGTGACCACAGGAAGAACCGGGGCAGTAATCTCAGGAAGAACCTGGGCAGGAATCTCAGGAAGAACTGGGGCAGTGACCTCAGGAAGAACCTGGGAAATGACCTCAGGAAGAACCTGGGCAGCGACCTCAGGAAGAACCTGGGCAGTGACCGTGGGATGGACCCGAGCAGGGCAATCAGAGCTAACATGACCAGGCTTGTTACAATTAAAACAAAGCTTTTTTTAACAAGACCAGGATCCAACAGTAGGACAACAGCAGGACAAACAGCAGGACAACAGCAGAACAACAGCAGGACAACAGCAGGACAGCAAAAACTTCTTTCACCAAAACTTGTGTGCAGCAATCAACCAAATTCTGTCCAGCAGGAACCACGTCTTTAGCCAAAAGGCCGAGAAGCGATGCCTTCTTCGCCGTTTGCCACACATATTTCTACCGAACACTTGTGCTACGAAAACGCGGTGAGAAGGAGCTCGCCTGCGAGCGATTATGACGTCGACAAGCGCTTG